GTTCTCGTTGATCTAGCTCTGAAATCTCAGAACCACACTGAAGTCTCTGCAGAGATTTCAAGGAGTCACGAAGAAATTCAACAAAGATGTTTTGCAGAGAGCAGTACTGCTGGCTTGAAGGGCTGTGTGTGTCTTGATCCTCCTGGAAGAACTCCAGCAGGACCTGTACCCTCTGTGGAGCTCGTAACAGAAGTTTTCGGAGAGCAGAAACAACATCCAAACTGAATCTCTGAGAGCAGCCATCTCTTCTTTTCGTGTCTGCAGCACGTCTGTTCTGGGTGCACACATATGCTTCAAACAGCTCCTGACAGGGAAAGAATAGAAGGTTACACCTTCTGGACTCCACAGATATGATTTTTTTTTTTAATCCAAATAGGATAAACTTGAAAGCAAGAAGATAAATCAATTTGGAAACGTGAAATTAACTAGCTAATTCACTAATTGGAGTCTACATCATCCAGCAGTCTCCCTATAAGAGTGGATATGCTTAAATACATAACAAAATATAACTAAACCTATAACACACAACTACACTACACTCACTGGTCATATGCTCACAAATAATTTTACATCAATGTCTTAGTTCACACCAGCAGCTCCTACGGGATGGCAGATGTGCTACCCTCTTCTATCTCTTAGCAAAACGCTAGAAGACAAGTCTGCAATGCCCTTATTTTTTATTTTCTTTTGGCTGGCTCAAAAGATAACCATCTATTATTACACCCCTGAAAGAAATTACAATGATGAAGTTTATGAATATCATATTTCTGCGCAACAATACAGACAAGCGAGCAATCTACTACAATCTTGGAGGTTAGATGAAAATATACACAAAACTGTTAAGGTTGCACAATCCACATAACTAACAAGAAGAAGCCAGATACGCTAAGCAGCTCACCTTGAGGACTTCTTCAGAGACATCTTTCTGCAATTCTTCCAAGAACAATAAAAATTCTGTTTCTCTCTGAAGAACAACAGGTACAGTTTTCTGAAACAATAAAAGAGAATGGGGAAAATATTAACCAACATAAGCTTTATTTATCTGTACTATCATAACTGAATCTTAGCTATTTCATTAACTTTTTAAGGCAGACAAATATCTCTCTGAAGAAACTTAACTCTCAACTGAAGACTATTCCACATCTAGAACGTGCTGCTGCACCAGTAGATTCCACTGGAATAGGAGACAAAATATCACTTCCTCAGGAATTATAATATTTAATAATTATAATAATAATAATAATATAATTAATATTATAATATAATAATAATACTATATTTTATTATAATTATAATAATTATTATATTTATAATATATAATTATAATTACAATATAATATTATATTTAATATTATATTTTATATATTATATTAATAATATAACAATATAATATAATAATAATAATATATTTAATAATAATAATTTAAGGCATCTTCCATTAAAATAGTGAAGAAATTTAAAGCTTTTAGCAGTGTCAAGAACAAGTGAATTTAAAATGGAAAAACAAAAAAACAAAAACCCCACACACCACCAAACACACACATACATGACCACAGTACCCAGCATACAAATAAAACGAAGACAAATAAGGAAAAAGACTAGTTTCTCTTTCACTCATGAAGCAGGATACATCTGTCATTCTGAAAAGAGTGACACAGGAAGCACATGTTAAACTCCTATGGCATCAAAAGCTAATAAAGAATTATCTGATTCCTGAACTATTTCTTCATTCAGGTAAGAAAGGTGCTACACAAATGCAGAGCTTGATAAACTTAAGCCTTTCTGGTTACAGAAATACTCGGTGATAAAAAAAAAATTCTATTACCCAAGGAAACAACAAAAAAAACATTAGTTTTTAATCTCCAACGTGCAGAAGAGAAAGTCACTTTCAAAGATTAACAGCTGTTTCTTGAGAAGTTTGGTAAAAGAAAAACCAAAAGATCAGCTACCCTGAAAGCCTGATTTCATGAACAGCAGGAAAACCTGCTGTTACAAACAAGTAACAAGGAAAATATTCCACATTTGGAAGACAACTAGAACTAACTTCTGTACCTGATTCCTTGCAAGCCATTTTTCCAGCACAAGAAGCCAAAGCCAGGCAGCTCTCCATGGGCTGCAATTCTGTTCACATCTGTAAAAGCAATAAACATGGATATATCGGATTATACAACGACATTCCCTTTCCTTAGATTGTGGAAATCAGTTACTTTTATTTATTTATTTTCATTTCTTTATGCCTTATAATGACTAAATTTTTGGAGTCTAGCAGGAAAAGAATACAGAGAACACAGAACATTAACATTATTTACACGCTTGCTCAATTATTTCTGCTGTGCAAATAACGGCTTTTGGGTCTGTGAGAAACCAATTCTGTTGCCATAGTTCTCTTCTTCAAAACAATGAAATGTGTTTCTGGTCTAAAGTTCAGGCTATAGAACCCACTTTCAGTGCTTCAGCAGATTTCTCTGAAATCTGACTGCTTGTCAAGCTGCTATTTCCTGTCCCGTCTAGTTCTATCCCCCCAAATGAAGCAAACTCTTACATCACAACAGCACAAGCGTAGCTCTCTGTCCAAATTAAAGTTAACCTACTATACTGATCAAACAAACAAAAAACCTTCTAACTTGTATCAGCTTTTCATAAGCTCCACTTATACAGACATTTCAAAGTTGGTATTCAAAGCCAGCACCGTCAAAGGAACTAAGAAAAGAACTAAGAAAAGAAAAGAAAACAGAAAGAAAAAAGACAGCATAGCAGCCTTTCCCAGAACATTTACCGTTGCACAAACCTTAACGTGAAGTATGACCACACAAAGCTTTAACCCTCCCCGGATAGCAGCACGCCCTGCAGCGCTGGAAAGGCACCGTTCCTATGAACCAAACGCCTGGACACATCCGACACGCCTCAGCGCAGAAGCCCGCACTGCGCCCCACGTCCCGCCGGCCTCCCGCAGTCAGCAGCCATCGGACGCAGAGCGGCACTCCTTACCCGGCCGCCCGCGGACAGGCCACCAGCGCCTCCAGGATGGCCTCCACCTTCCCGGGGCCGTCGCCCCGCCACCGGCCCAGCTGTGGCACGCAGGCCTGCGCCAGCTCCCAGCGCCCGCTTCGCACGCACTCACAGAAGAACCCGAAGAGCCGCTCCAGAGAGGCCGCTTCTTCCTTGCCGAAGGGATGCATCCTCCCGGCACCTGGCCAGGGGACACGCGGAACGATGCCGGGAGGCCCCAGGTCTCCGCTTCACACGGAGCCGACACCAGCCCTCGGGGCCTCCCGCCGCGCCGACGGGGCGTTAAACGCTACAGAGCCCCGCGGGACGCTCCCGCCGCCCCCCGCCTCCTCAGCGCGGAGCGGCCGGGAGATCCCTCCGTTAGCGTTACCTGACGGGGCGGGCGCTGCGGCGGCACCGACTCTACCGAAGCACCGCCGCCGCCATCTTGGGAGGGGCCTCAGCTGATCGCGCCGCCGGGCGGGCATGGGGAGGCGCGCGCCCATTGGCCGGGTCGGGGCAGAAGGTAAACAAGCCGCCATCTTTCTTTGGGGAACCGGGCGGTGCCTAAGGGCTCCGGGCAGCGCTAGCCCCGCCCTCCCCGTAACCGCTCCTATCCCCATCCACCGGCACGCCCCGCGCCCCTCTCTGACAGCCGCTCCGATTGGCTTCCGCGGGAAGCTCCGCCCCTTCAGCGCGCCGTTCTGCCGAGCTTCCCGGTGGGTGGGCGGTGCCGCGCGGTGCGTGCGGTAAACGTACGGTGTGCGTGCCTGTGGGCGGGCGCGTGTGGGAAGGTTCGGGGTTAGAGCTGTTCGGTTGGAACGGGCCTTTAAGTATCTCGTGTTCCAACCGCGCTGCCTCAGGGCTAAGCAAAAGTTATAGCTAATGATGGAGGGGGCTGATAGGCACAGCTGTGGCTGGGTGTGTATGTACGTGTACACAGAGGGGAATATTTATGGGTAAACATACGCGGGTAAAAACAACTACGTTTTGATGCCGTTTCTGTCCTTACTCAAAGGAGTAAATATATGATACGTCGTTACAGGGTGTGAGAAAGGCGTGCATTGAGGGATACGTTCGTAGGTGTGTGCGTGCGTACCGCCGTGTGTACGGCTCTCTGCTGCCCTCTGTAAGGACGCAGAGCACGTGCTCTCCTTTGAAAGGGCCGGAGTGGAAGAAAAAAAATGTAGTTTACAAGAAGACACAATGCTTGTGTGTACTGTGTAGGCCACTCCAAAAGTAACGCCTCCTATTCATTTCCTTGGAAACTCCAGCGGGTATAAAGCACAATAACACCATTTGATCAAGGAAATTCTCAGCTACAAAACACTATATTTCAACACACTCACCACCATTCACTGTGCGTTTTCACCAGTGATGAACAAGAGCCAGCATGCTGCACGTGTAAAAATCTGCATGGCCATCTGGAACACAGTTTGTCCATCACATTGCTGTCACCGCTGCTGAAATGCACTACTCACCACCTCACTGTGCTCACATCCACTCTTTGGTCTCCATAAATGTTCAGCAAATGCTAATGAATGCCAATGGGTGCCATTTTTTTTCTGCATTCAGTGCCACACCTTTGGTTCATATGATCTTCCATGTCAAACGCCATTTTGACAGGCTGCCCCTCTGCTGCCATCTGTCACATGGTGATAAAATGTAACAGAATACTGGTGGGAAGTTTCAGCCTCTGCTGCCCTACCACCATCTGCTTCTGACATGGTGGGCCAACATCACAAACAGGAGGGATTTATTTCAGAGCAGCCCTCGTATATTTGTATAAACAAATGCAGTGTCTTGCAATATACACACGCACCAATATCTACTTCTTCAATACGTACACACAGACACAAAGGATATGCCTGGCCCTCCAGGCGGGTGGCAGGGTGCTTCATGCTGCTGCTCACTCCCTTGGCTGTGGTGCGCCCAGGCGTGTGGGCTGTGACTCAGCTGCTTGGCTGGGTGGTGCCCAAATACTGCTCAGCAGAGATAACTCGCCCCCTCTCCTGACATCCTCCCTTTATTCTGGGCTTTTTGTTTGTTTTTGTCATCACAAGAGAAAAGCTCCTCCAGGAACTCCTACAGCAGAGCAGTGTGTGCGACACAGCAGTGATGACAGAGAAGGAGAGGTGTCCCAAAGTAAGTGAGCAAAGGGGTCCCCAGGGCTCCTGAATGGAAAATAGGGGAAGGGGGCCATGTCCCTGCACACACACCTGCACACTCTGCAAGGTGCTGCAGGAGCTTGTACTGCTGCTGGCTATATGGCATCTTGAGTATTTCTCACCTGTACTAACAACTCAGCTTTGGCTGAGTGACTGCGTGTGGACAGCTGTGCTCCTGAGCTGATTTCAGTCATGCTGGAGGAGCTGGAAATGTTAAGACCTTATGGTTATGGTTTGATCTATTCTAGTTTGATCCCATATGCCTTTATTGACTCTTCTTCCTATGGGGCACCAGTGTGCCAACTATTTTTCAACCTGTACTTTCAATTTGGGGGTAACATCTTGCACAGGCAAGAAAGGAGCTGTGATGTGACACAGGACCTGTGTGATGATAAAGTTCATTTAGCCTCTACTAGCTACTTTCTCCAATTTGATTTTAAGTATCTCCTTAAAGCCGGTCTCCTTACTTGAGGAGCTGCTCCTGACCTAAAAATATGAGGAGGGTGATACTTTGCTTTTGTTATGAGGATTCATAACACACCTACTGAGTCACCTGCCCAGCTCTGCAAGGGTAAATGTACATTGTTAACAATCATCAGTAGTGGTAGTGGTGTCATTTTTTTTCATTCATTTTTTCCAACACTGGCACTGTTAGGAGCTAGGGGTTTATTAATGCATCTGAAGTGTGGTAAATGTTGGCTGGATGTAAATATCAAGAAGGGAAAAAAAAAGAACTGCTTAAGGTCATCTTAGCAAAAGGTATAGCTAGTATACTGAAATTAGGAAATGCAGTATAGGTGAAATGCTTTCTATCTTGAATTTGTGTTCCCATTAAGTAAGCTAGCATTCAATAATTCAAAATTCTAACACTGG